GAACTGTGAGATCATGACCTGAGCCAAAATTGAGAGTTGGACTCTTAATTGACTGAGCCACCCAGGTGCCCCTGTGTCCATTTTTTTTTTAATTAAAAATTCTGGAATGGATATCCTTAGGAGGGTGCTATATATATATATATATATATATATATATATATATTCATTTTTCTATACAAGGTAAAATGAAAAAGTGAGATGACCAGGATCCTTAAAACACTCTTATTTTAATTAAATTGGTCCACTTTGAAAAAGTTGGTCATCTATACTTGAGACCAATACAAATTGTAGTTTTGACAATTTTCTCAAAATGTTTCTCCCTAACATATCACACATTCTTGTTTTCATTTATCTTTAATTATATAAGTAATACATAGTTTTTTTTGTAAAAATCTATGCAGATACAGCAAAACTACTGACCACACCAGTCCCCTTAAAAACAAACAAGTACCACTGGTTTTTACAACAGTAAATGAAACTACCGGATATAGACCTACCACAATTTAACTATCTTTCAAATTATGGACATACAAAACACTTCAAAATTTTTCACTTTGCAAGTAAGATGCCAGTTAAAATCCTTATACATGTTTGTTATGTACATGTATGACTATGTCTCTAAAACAGGTAACAAGAGTAGAGCTGCAGGGGCAAATCGTATGCACAAGTAAAGCTATAATAAAATGCTGCACAGTAACCTTCCAAGGAGTTTTACAAATCCCTACTCCTACAATAATATATGAAAATAGTCATCTCCTCACACCTTTGCTAATATTGGTATCCGTCTAAAATAATTTTGGCCAATTTGATGGGTGAAAAATGCCATTTTAAATCATATATATTTAAAACATTTTTTTAAGTTTATTTATTTTTGAGAGAGAAAGCATGAGTCAGGGAGGAGCAGAGAGAGAGAGGGAGACAGAGAATCCCAAGCAGGCTTTGCACAGCACAGAGCCCAACGCAGAGTGCAAACCCATGAACTGCGAGATCATAACCTGAGCTAAAGTCAGATGCTTAACAGACTGAGCCACCCAAGTGCCCCTAAATCATATTTTAAATTAATAATGAAATTGAATGATTTTCTAACTTCAACATCCCATCCATAGCTATTACTAATTTTCTATTGGGGTCCTTATAGACTGTAGCTTATTTTATATGTATTTTTGTATGGGTATGAAGATGAGTTCATCCATATAAGCAATTCCTGTTCTTTTATATATGTTGCAAATTTTTTTTCTAGTTTATTGTGTGATTTTTAACTTTGTTTATGTGGTCTCTTGTGTGGTTTTAAAAGTTTTATGTAGTACAATTTATTTAAAAATGTGTGAGTGAGTGTGTGTGTGTGTGTGTGTGTGTGTGTATGAATGCATTGTCTAGTGCAAGATAATAAGCACATTTTCCTTGAATTTTTTAGCTTGATGTATTTTTAATAGCTTTATTGAGATGTAAATCGCATATCGTGCAATTCTCCTATATACAGTATACCATTCACTGGTTCTCAGTATACTCGCAGAATGGTGTATCCGTTCCCATAACCAGTTTTAGAACATTTTCATCAGCCCAAAAGAAACACTGTAGCCATTTGTAGTCACTCTTTATTTTCCTTCAACACACCATTTTCCCTCCCACCCTAGGTAAGCCCTAGTTTGTTTTTTGTATCTGTAGCGTTACCTATTCTGAGCATATATAAATGCAGTCATGTTATATGTGGTCTTTCGTGACTTGCTTCTTTCATTTAACATAATGTTCTCAAATCCTCTCCATGTCGTAACTTTATGTTTTTAGAAGTAGATCTTAAATCCATCTGGAATGTATTGATTTGTATAAATTGGGTAAATAATCATATATAAGTTATTCATATTTTTAAAAATCATAGCCAGTTGTAATAATATTATTTAAGATTTGGTCCATCCTTTTCTTCTTCTTTTTAAAAAACTTTTTTAAATATTCATTTATTATTTTTGAGAGGCAGAAAGAGACAGAGGGCAAGCAGGGGAGGAGCAGGGAAAGCGGGAAACACAGAGCACCTGAAGCAGGCTCCAGGCTGTGAGGTGTCAGCAGAGAGCCCGATGCAGGGCTCGAACCCACGAACCGTGAGATCACGACCTGAGCTCAAGTCGGACGTTTAACTGACTGAGCCACGCAGGCGCCTTCCATCCTTTTCTCACCAATTAGAGTGTCTTACTAATTAAAATGCCTTGGGATGCCTGGGTGGCTCAGCTGGTCAAATGTCTGACCCTTGATTTTGGCTCAGGTCATGATCCCAGGGTCATTGGATCAAGCCTTGTGTGGGGCTCTGTGCTGAGCACAGAACTGATTAAGATTCTCTTTCTCTCTCTGCTCCTCCCCCACTCACACTTTCTCAAATAAAATAAAATAAAATAAAATAAAATAAGTCTCCCCATCCATAAGTATGGACCGATTTCTGAACTCTGTTTTAAGGACTTTAAGGCGTTAAGGACTGTAGCTGTACAGTATAGTTTTGCTACCTTGTAAGGCAAGTCTTCCCTCATTCTCCTTTTCCTAAAATTTTCTTGGCTCTTCTTCCGCCCTTTCCCTTCCCTTGAAATTGTGGCATCAGTCTGTTGCATTTCATCAAAATACTGCTGAAACTGTGATTAGAATTTCATTGAAACAGTAGACCAAGTTTTGAAGGAAGTTCATCTTTAGAAGACTGGGTTTTCCTATATTTTTATCCAGTTCACAGCCATATTTTTTTTATTCGCTAGATGGCCTGTAGATGTTCCACCTGGAATCAGCATTTTAATTTTTTTTTTTCAACGTTTATTTATTTTTTTGGGACAGAGAGAGACAGAGCATGAACGGGGGAGGGGCAGAGAGAGAGGGAGACACAGAATCGGAAACAGGCTCCAGGCTCTGAGCCATCAGCCCAGAGCCCGACGCGGGGCTCGAACTCACGGACCGCGAGATCGTGACCTGGCTGAAGTCGGACGCTTAACCGACTGCGCCACCCAGGCGCCCCAAGGAATCAGCATTTTAAATTGATGTATAGGAAGGTCACTTGCTGTGGTAGGAGCTGCAGAGGGAGGCATAGGGTTTGATGAAAAGGTAATGAGATCTGCTTCGATGCATTCTGCCTGGAAACGTTGGTGAGAAATGACGCACATGCCGAATGTTGGGCCGTTCGTTTTGGTGACTTTTTAAGAAAGGCAATAGGAAGGCGGGTGATACATGATGTCTTCTGAAGGAGAATATGGTGTTTGGACCAAAAATGTCTGAAACGATTAGACGTGAAAAGGGCAGAGCTTCTAACCTATAGTGGCGATTTTTTTTTTTTCAAATGTTTTTATTTATTTTTGAGACAGAGAGAGACAGAGCATGAGCAGGGGAGGGTCAGAGAGCGGGAGACACAGAATCTGAAGCAGGCCCCAGGCTCCCAGCTGTCGCCCAGAGCCCGACGTGGGGCTCGAACTCACGGACCGCGAGATCGTGACCTGAGCTGAAGTCGGACGCTTAACCGACTGCCCCACCCAGGCGCCCCACAAATTTCGTTTTTAATAAAGGGGAAACAAAGCACAATTAACTGTTTCATTTGGCTACGCTCGTGTTGAGAGGCTCCCGGGATAAATAATTCTTGAAGTCATGGCTGGCCATGCTGTCTAGAGCCTTCCTTTCTCCAAGGTCTGATTGCAATTGTATCCTTCCATTGTCTCAGGTTTCGGCATGGCCCGTGGTAACCTGAATTTCCTAGGCAGCCTAAGTGGTTAAAATGAAGGGAGGATAACAGGGGCCACTCTCTCTGTACACACAAACTCTTATAAAACACCTACGTTCTCAGTATGAGGCCCCCCAATACTTCAGGAAACCCCCAGGGGCATCGTGGTGTACTTCCAAGGTCAGCATTGCAGAGCCTGACATCTCTCCCTCTCCTGCTGAGTCTCTCCCATGCTGATCTGATGCAGTGTTCTCTGATGCCCACTGGAGATCTTTGACTGGTGACTCATGGCCACTTCCCATTTTGTGACCAGGACGGGGTCACGCTGCCTTTCAGTTGAGCCACACTGACTTTCAATGTGCTGAGTCAAAGATGCTGCAGCATGGGGCACCTGGGTGATTCAGTCGGTTGAGCGTCGACTGCACCTCAGGTCATGATCTCACGGGTTCATGGGTTCGAGCCCTGCGTGGGGTTCCGTGCTGACAGCTCAGAGCCTGGAGCCTGCTTCAGATTCTGTGTCTCCCTCTCTCTCTCTGCCCTTCCCCTGCTGGCCCCGTCTATCTCTTTCTCTCAAAAATAAACATTGAAAAAATTAAAAAAAAAAAAAAAAAGATGCTGCAGCAGGAGCACAAATGCCCTGCTGGATTCTCTACCAAAGTGGGGAGACTCTTCCTCTTTCTCTACCATCATGTAACGTTGATACCTGGTCAGAGGAGGGCCGTCCGGGGCTCTCAGCAAACACCTGTCTGCGTGGGATTGGGTAGCTGGATGTCCCAAGTGACCGCACTGTGTCCAACATCTCCTTCCTCTCCAGTTGTCCAACTGTGCGTGGGGCCTTGACCTTGAGCCAAGCTTGCTATCAGTGTCTTCAGTCTTGGTCCCATGCATACGCAGAACTCTGGTGTCCCACCACCGGGGCCTTCCAAATACCACCAGAAGGTCTGAATCCTAGGATGACTATGGTTTAGGTTCAAGCTGGAAGCTCTTCTGCTCAACTAAGGAAATGATTCAGAATCATGCATTAAGTTTGAATCATCCCAGTAGGCCTGTGGCCATCTGCTCATACTTGCAAGGAAAGAGACAAATTGTGGTTTTGGCATATGGCTTTTGCTACTAAGCCTTATTGTCTTCTCTTAATGGTGAAGATGACACATGGTTTAAAACTAAGGGATCATTATCGCATGTGACTAAATGTACAATGAAACGTTATAGAAGGTATATTGATAATTTGATGTTCAAACTAATGGAATAAGTGTGAAGGCATGGGGGAAAATTGTGGCCATGGACCAGATTATTTCTTGGCTTTTTTTTTTTTTTTTTTCAGGAGTGGCAGGAAGTTGTTGGAGAGGATGCTTGGATGGTCATTCCTCCTCTCAGCCAGTAGTGAGCCTTTTGGTAACTACCTCCCCTGTATTTTTTTTTTTTTAAAAGCTTATTTATTTATTTTGGGGGAGGGAGGAGCAAAGAGAGAGAGAGAGAGAGAGAGAGAGAATCCCAAGCAGGCTCTGTACTGTCAGTGCAGAGCCCAGCATGGGGCTTGGTCTCACGATTCGCAAGATCATGACCTGAGCCAAAACCAAGAGTCAGACGCTTAATCAACTGAGCCACCCAAGCACCCCAACCTCCCCTGTATTTGCCTTTCTCTTGACTTCAAAAAGATGAAGAGGTTTGTTGTCTTCAGTTGCCCAACCCCTTAGGACCTATGGTAGATGACACTCATTATGACTTCTCTGGTTTGGATTGATCTGAGCCACTGAGAACGTAAGATATAATTTTAGAGAGTACCACCTTAATGATTGGGAGTCGCACAGTATCGACTTCTGCTCGGGTCATGATCTCACGGTTTGTGGGTTCAAGCCCCACATCGGGCTCTGGCTGATAGCTCAGAGCCTGGAGCCTGCTTTGGTCTCTGTGTCTCCCTCTTTCTCTGCCCCTCCCCTATTCTCTCTGTGTGTCTCTCTCTCAAAAATGAATAAACATTAACAAAAATTTTAAAGTCACGCAATAGTAGAAGGAGCTAGAAAGATGAGTCTCAGACATAAGCTTGAGAAGCATGCTGCTCTAATTCAACCCCTGCTTTTTAGCTAGGTCTTCCAGTTGGCCGTTCATTCCAATCTCATGCATGTCTCAAAGAGGTCCTGTGGTCACATATCCCCATGCCTCACAGGCATCTTGTGTAGAAGAAGTTTTCCAACGTTTTAAACCTAAGTCATTTATTCCTATTCCATCTGTAGTAAAAATGACAAACAGTCGTTGAGTCCCTCTAGTCCCAAATTGCATGTGGAATGATATGTAAAGTAAAGGGTATAAGCTCTGATGTCAGATAGACCTGAGTTTGAATCCTGGCTTCACCACTTACCAGCTGTGTGACCTAGGGTAAGTCATTTAACCTCTCTGGATCCGGCTCTTCGTAGCTCAAAGTGGAGATCGAATGCCGATCGCAGCGGGTAGTTATATGAGTTAGATGAAATAACAGATGTGACCGTGACTGGCATGCGTTATGCGTTCAACAAATGCCCTCGACCTGTGTGTTATTTTCAGATATGCCCTATGTCCAAGTAATTAATTTGCATTGATTCTGTTGCTTGTGTAGCAGGTGACGTCAGCAAGGAAAGAGTTCATTACAATTAAGGAAGTCTTTAGAAATCGAGTTACAGCCTGAAGATTGGACTCCAGGAGATGGAATTATTTTGCAACCTAAGATTAGTTCAGTGAAAAAGATTAATGAGTCACATTATAGAATCAGCTCAAGCTAATGACAAATGAAAATGTTCTGGTTTTTAGCTAGAGTTGATTTAATAATATTTGTGCAATAACAGCATTATATTCAAAGTCTGTTCTAGCAAATTGGCCTTTACCCAGAGTTTTCCTCTCAGAGGTGAGGTCATTCTTATCATCTGACTGGCCACTTTGGGGACAGAGCCCTCGAGGGTGCAGTTTCAGGGCTGGCGAGAAGCCCTCCAGTTCTCAAACACCCTGCTCTGTTTCTTTCCTCTTGGGATGCAACGAGGTGATTGAAGCTTTCACCTACCTATTTTCCATGATTTAAGTCATCTGCGAGAATCACGGATGAAGCCAGACTCAGGCATTAATACCTTAATCGGCAGGGATTCCTCTGATTAACCCTGGCAGAAAGTACAGTCCTGGGGTAAGTAGTTTGGGGGAAGAACGAGTCAGAGTAGGAGAGGCAGAACCCTTGGGAAAAGGTGGGTGGGGTACAGGGGCTCAGCAAGTGCTGGTGAGGGGTTATTTATTACCCCAAGCTGCCAGAACACTGTTTGAGTTTCAGCTGGTATTTGGGTCAATTATGCCTCGTTCTGACATTACCGTTTTCATAGTTCTGTCATCCCCACTAGGCTATAAAATCTTCAAGGGAAAGGGGCTTCCCTTTCATATTTTTCCCTTTCCCTCCGAGTGCCGTCCTTGTGTCTAGGAGGCATTCAATAAATGCCTGTTGAATGAATAAGTAAGTCAGTGGAGGTAAAGGGGATATTCAAAGTGAAACGAGGAGGCGTTGAACAGTATCTGGTGTTTTGTTGTTTTTGAACCTAGGTCTGGATTTCGTGATTCTGTGTTCATTTGTTGCTTCAGGTAAACTACCCTCCTGTGAAGTCTTTTCTGTTTTCTGCCCAGATTTGGGTCTCCCTACCCCTTCCTTTCTATCTTCCTGCACATCACCTCCAGTATGTCTGAGCAGGCTCACCTCGCATGTGAACTCTACGGCTGTCTCTGCTTCGCTGTTTTTATTGAAATCCTGGCATCCACTCTGATGGTGTTCAGAGTGACCAAGAAATCCGCCATCTCTCTAGTATCACCTGAGCAAGAAAGAATCGGGGATCATCACGCTTACGAAGTGCTCTAGTCTGAAGTTCAAGTTACAGCGGGAAAATCAAGTCGCTAATAGAGGCAAACAAATGTTGAACACGCCCACTGTATGGCAAGACTGGAAATGGAGTTACACAAGATATGTGCTGCAGGGGACCACTGAAAGCTTTTGGGCGAATGAAAATTTTGTTGCCCTGAACAATCTCTAAAATTTGTTCCGGAATACTGGAATGGTTTTCTATTACAGAAAAATTCATTTCAGTGTTTCTTTTGTTGAAATGCATTGTGTTGGTTCTTTCCCCCTTTTTTTCCTATGGAGGACACTGTATTCAGATATTTTTTGTAATCGAAACTTTTGTCTTGAGGTAATGGTATATTCGCATGCAGTTTTTAACAAATGATACAGAGAGATCCATGTACTCTTTATGCAGTTTCCCCCCAGTGGTAACATTTTTGTAAAACCACAATGCAGGGGCGCCTGGGTGGCTCAGTCCATTGAGCATCTGACTTTGGCTCAGGTCATGATCCCACTGTTCATGGTTTGAGCCCCGTGTCAGGCTCTGGGCTGACAGCTCAGAGCCTGAAGCCTGCTTCAGAGTCTGTCTCTCTCTCTCTCTCTCTCTCTCTCTGCCCCTTCCCCATTCTTAAAAAAATAAAAACATTAAAAAAATTAAAACTACACTACAGTATCACAACAGGGTATTGACGTTGATACAGTCAAGATGCAGAACATTTCCATCCCCAACAACGTCCTTCATATTGCTATAAAAATAGCCACCCCCAGTTTCTCCCCAGTTCACCCTCTTAAAAAAATTTTTTTAATGTTTATTTATTTTTGAGAGACAGAGACAGAGCATGAGCAGTGGAGGGGCAGAGAGAGAGAGGGAGACACAGAATCGGAAGCAGGCTCCAAGCTCTGAGCTGTCAGGCAGAGCCCGAACGAAGGACTAGAAAGGCTAGAACTCACAAGCTGTGAGATCACGACCTGAGCCGAAGTGGGTCGATAAACTGACCGAGCCACCCGGGCGCCCCACCCCCTTCTTAATCCCTGGCAACTAATCTGCTCTCCGGTTCTGTAATTTTGTCCATTTCAAGATGGTTATATACATGGAATCATATAGTCTGTCACCTTTGGGGATTGGCTTTTTTCACTCCACATAAGTCTCCAGAGATTCATCCAGGTTGCTGTGTAGCTCATTCCTTTTGAGTGCTCTGGTATGGACGTATTGCGATTTGTTTCACCATCCATCCATTTCTAATTTCGGGCTACTAGACATAAATCAACTGTAAATATTTCTGTGTAGGCTTTGCTGTGAACCTACGTCTTTATTTCTCTGGGATAAATAACCAGGAATATTGATTGCTGGCCGGTATGGTAGTTACACGTTTAGGATTGTTTTGTTTTGTTTTGTTTTGTTTTGTTTTGTTTTGTTTTGTTTTAAAGAAAGTACCAAACCATTGTCCAAAATGGCTGGGCCATATTACGTTCCCACTTAACAATGTGTGAATGATCCAATTTCTTAGCTTTTGTGGCAGCATTGGTGTTGTCATTATTTTTTATTTTGGCCATTTTGATATGTGTGTAGGGCTATCTCATTATGGTTTTAATTTGCGTTTCCCTAATGGCTAATGATGTTGAACATCTTTTTATATGCTTATTTGCCATTTTTATATCTTCTTTGGTGAAGTGTCTCTTTATGTCTTTCGCTCATGATTTAATTGGATTTTTAATTTTTTTTAACTGTTGAGTTTTGAGAGTACTTAATATAGTCTAGATATTAGTCCCTTGTCACATGTTATTCGCAAATATTTTTTTTTTCCTGGTCTGTAGCTTGTCTTTTTATTTTCTTAGCAGAGTCTTTCATCGAGCAGAAGTTTTTAAATTTTATGAAGGCTCATTTATCAATTTTTACCTTGTGGGTTATGCTTTTGGTGTCACATCTAAGAAATCTTTGCCTAGGTCCTGAAGATTTTTTCCTACTTTTTTTTCTAAAAATTTCACAGTACTATATTTTACTTTTAATTTTGGGGTACACTTTTAGTTAATTTTTCGGTCAAGTGTGAGACAGATTGAAGTTTATTTTTTTGCCTGTGGATGTCCAATTGCCCCAGCACCACTGGTTTAAAAGGCTATCTTTTCTTCATTGAATCGCTTTTGCACCTTTGTCAGAAATCAGTTGGGCATATTTGTGTGGGTCTATTTCTGGGTTCGCTACTCCGTTACATTGATCTATGTATATATTCCTTCACCAGCACCATCCTGTTTTGAATACAGTATCTGTACAGTATGTCCTGAAATCAGGGAGATGGATCCCTCTTACTTTCTTCTTCTTTTTCAAAATGATGTTAGCTATTCTAGTTCCTTTGCCTTTACAGATAGCTTTCTGTATAATCTTGTGTAATGTTTGCAAAAAAATCTTGCTGGGATTTGGATAGAAATTATATTACGTCAATTTGGGGAGAATTGACACCTTTACTCTGTTGAGCCTTTCAATTCATGAACACGGAAGATCTCTGATTTCTTTCATCAGTGTTATGTAGTTGTTATCGTACAAGTCCTACACATGTTT